TTACAAGCATAATTGTACATGTCTTGGCCTGTTTTCTGTGGCTACAACCAAAAGCTGAGACTGGGTACATGATATCAAGAAAAGGTTATTTAGCTCACGGGTCTGGAAGCTGAGAGTCCAAGGTGGGGTGGCCTCACTGATTTCAGCCTCAGCTGAGGGCCTGCTGGGAGAGACACAGCTGGGCAGGGTGGACAGCACCGAGGTGGGCGTCGCCAAGGGGGAGCACGTGTGAGCAGGGAGGAGCCCAGAGGGACACAGGAATCTGGAGAGCGCACAGCAAAGGCAGGCTTGCTCCTCCGAAACTGTGTTCTCCCCAGGACTAACTCCCGGTGGTGATCGTGGTGAGTTGCTTCCGAGGGCAGCGGCCCCAGTGACCTAATTCCAGGGCACCTTCCTCTAAGCCTCCTTTGCTGAAACTTCCTCTGTCTCTCAAAATCGCCACACTGGGGGACCCAGCTTTCTTTTTCTTTTTTTTTTTTTTTGTCTTTTTCATTTTTATCGGTACCAGGGATCGAACTCACGACTGCCTGCCTGCAAGGCAGGCGTTTATGCCGCTGAGCTAAATCCCCAGCCCCAAAGGGGACCCAGCTTTCAACACAAGCACCCTCTGGGGGCCAGCAACACTCAAGCCATCGTGATATGTGTGTTCTTATACACTAGGGCTCTCGTTTCCGAGAGGGAAGGTGCTCAAAGATCGCATTGGCGGTGACAGCAGGGTGGACGCTGTTGCCACAGGAAAGGTGACCATACCGAGCGGCTGAGGACATTTGCTCTGCAGCCAGTTGACAGCTTCTTGCCGTGTAGTGCATTGATTTAATTTGCATCTCATCTCTGGAAGTGTTGCCTGTCTTTCATTTTTTCTTTTTCAGTGAGGATGCTTGGATTTTATCATTAGTAAGTAGCCTGTTCATAATTCTTTGCCAATTTTCCGTGGGGTGTTCTTTTTAAAAATTCAATTTTCCTATCACTATCTTAACAGAGCTCTTTGTGCATTTCTTCTTTTGTTATTAGAAAATTATTTTTGTTGTCTTTAAGAAACACAACATGAAACTAACATAGCCTGAACCTACCCTGTAAGTCCTAGCTCTCTCTGAAAGCAAATCTCCACAGGGAATTTACAAACTTAAGAGTTATCACAGGATACACGTTCACTTTCGACTTTACATAAATTTCTGATAATTTTGATATGCTTGCACCTGAAAATAGATCAACAAAATTAAAAAGTCAGGAACCACATCCACTAGAATAGTTGCTTCAATGTAGTATACTGTTTTCTTTTGAAAATTAAAAAAAAAAAAAAACCTGCCACAGCATTGCCACAGAGCACCAGTGTTAGATCAATGTCATTTCGATCTGTCTAGGGAAAAATTCTGTTCATTAGTAACAGAGTGAAGTTTGAGTCATTTATCCTGGGTCCTCCAATCCAAATCTCTATTAATCTGTGTGCATGTCTGAGCTCGCGGCTCGGCTGGCTGATGAGACTTCACTCATGGAGCAAGGTGTTCATGCAACATGCTCTGACGCACTGGAAAACCTGGCAGCTTCTAGCATTGTTGCTTATCCCAAAGAGTCCCGATGGGATGTCATACATCCTGAGGTGAGGAAAAAGCCCCGAGTTTACAAGGTTTGGTGCGTTGAATCAGCTTTGGGTTATGAAATAAAATCCTTCCATTGTGAAGGGTGTATGGGGGGGTCCCCATCCACTGACTGTGTACCCAGAGATTCTCAGGGCTGGGGCTCAGGCTTGACTGCCATGGGCCAGTACGTAGACGCTGGACAGCTGCACACAGAGGATCGCTTCTTCTGTCTCCAAGCCCAGGGATGGGGGGGACAGTCCTGCATCCCCAGCTCCAGCCCAAGGCGAGGCTCCCAGGAGCGTGGTCCCTTGAGCGTCCCTTTGCCTCTGTGGGAAGACGGAGCTGGCCTGTGCTCTGGGCTGGGTGACTCATGGCAGGAATCTCCGGGTCATAACCTCTGCCCTGTTTTGCAGACCACTCTGTCTAAGACTCTTTCTCTTTAACAACTCTGCCCAAACACCCGCAGCTCCTGCTGTCTCTGCCAAAGCTCAGAGGTACCTCTGGGCACTCCTTGTTCCCTGTCCAACTCCACGCTGCCCTGCAGGCAGGCAGGCAGGCGGCTCAGTCTCTCCTGCACCTGCAGGATGCGCCTGCCCCTGCCTGGAGGGCCTTCTCCTCCTGAGACCTCACCTCCTTGCCTTCCAGGTCTAGTTCAGGTCTGAGCTTGTTCACAAGGACTTCCCGGATTCTTCTGGTCTACACTGATCTCTCGAGCTTCTGAACTTTACTAGAATCTGGGTTCCCTCATTCCAAGTTTTATGTCATGTCATGTCTTTTCTTTTCTTTCTTTTTTTTTTTTTTTTTTTGTTGGTACCGGGGATCGAACTCACAGCCATGCACTTGCAAAGCAGGCGCTTATGCCGCTGAGCTAAGTCCCCAGCTCCTATGTCATGTCCTTTCCTGACGGTGGGAGTGGAGAGAACCTTGCTATGAGTGTTTGTTTTCTTCTTTGTACATTAGCACATGGTGCGTGATCATTGTCACTACTGCCTGGGGACACAGACCCTGTCCAGTGTCCCTCTGCCTCTTTCTTAGCCCTTAGCGCTGTGGCAGTGCTGAACACATGAAGGCAGCTCCTGGGTCTCACCAAATGGTTTGCATGAAATCATTAGCACCACCGCGTTTCATCGAAACTCGACAGTTCATCCTAACCAATTCTCATCCAATCATTTCCAGAGGTTCTGAATTTTGCATCCATTCATCTGCCTTCTTAGAACTTCTGATTTGCAGGGGATTTTGCTACATACAGGGGAATGTAATGGTGCTTAATCTATTCAGGGTGCTGTTGTAAAGTGCTATCAGCTGGGAGGCTTTTAAATCACAGGCATTTATTTCTCACTGATCTAGAGGCTGGAAGTCCAAGATTCAGGCACTGGTGGATTTACTGGGGAGAATCCATTTCAGGCTCATAAACGGGGTCTTCTCACTGTGTCCTCAGGAGGAGGAGAGAGTTCCATGGGGCCCGCTTAATGCCATTCACAAGGGCTTCCACTTTTATGACCTAATCACTCCCAATGGCTCTACGTCTTAATAAAACCACTTTGGCAATTAAGTTTCACTTTATAAACCTTCAGCTCATTACACATGACAATCAAAACCACAACATCAACAGCAACAAAAACAAACCACAGTGCCTGGCCTCGGTGGCCAAAAGTCTGACAGGAAAGGCAGATTCCAAGAACCCCGGAAAACGTGCAGATTTGCCATAGCAGTAGACGCCACCCCCGAAGGCTACACGGCTCTACGTGAGCCCGGAGGAGGAAGCCATCCTGGCTGAGAAGCTGGTGGGCAGCTTCCCCAAGGAGGTGACCATTGTACTGAGGACTGAATGAAGCTAGGAGCTGACTGGCGAGGGTCATAGCAGGATTCCTGGCAGAGGGGGTGGGCCCACAGTCAAAGAACAGCAGGAGGCTGCCGCAGGGCATGGACTCAGCTGCAGGGTTTTGCAGATCTTGTGAAGGGCCCTGGATACTGACGGGTGCCCTTATGGTGTGGGGGGACCAGAGCACAGACTGGCACTGGGAAAGACCACGCTGGCAGTGATATCAGTAATGGAGAAAGGGCACAGCCCAGAGAGGAGGCTAACAGCAGCACAGCTAGGAGAGGGGGGTGCGGTGTGCTAAGAGGGGCCGAGGGGTGGAAAGAAGCAGCTGCATGATTCAGAACTAGCAGGGCCCAGTGACTGATCCAGAGCTGGATCTGGGGTGAGGGAGCGAGAAGGGGATTTGCACCTGAGGTTTCCGGGATCAATAGAAGGGTGCATGGAGACCCCAGTCACCAGCAGGAAACCCTGACCGAGCACAGACCTGGGAGGGTGGATCGTGGCTGCGAGTCTAGACATGACAAGCTCAAGGGCTATTGAGATGTCTGAAGTGGCTACCGGCAGCCATTACCCTCTTATTTGTTAGAAGAAATCCTCCTGAATTTACTTGGGCTGAGAGCTGCTCAGTTGGAGCTGCCGTTCCCAGCCTGCCGTGCCTTTGAGCGCGTGTCTGTGGAGTTAGCTCGTGGCCTGTGTTGCATGAGATGAGGTGATGCACAGGGCCTCCGGGTCACATCCCGAGGAGGAAGTGAGTATGCTTCCCCAGCCTCTCGCCCTTCCTGCTGGAGGAAATTGGGTAGGGGGTGGGAATTAGCATGACCACCCTGGATCCCTGCTGGGAAGTTTGCCTGGCGCTGGTTTGCAGGGAGGGCTTGCTCCTTGGGGAATCCTTGTTCTTGTCCCCCACAGTCAACGAATGGTGCTGACTCATGGGAGAAGGCTGGTGTCTGGTTCTCCCCCAGCAGCCTGCACGTGGTGCCGATTCTCAGGGAGGGCGGGCTTCTTGGTGACTTCTTGTTCTCTGCCCCTGCAGGCTGCAAATGGCTGAGTTTGAGAATTCTTAAAACAGACAAATAAAAGCCAGGAGAATGGGTCGTCCAGTGAGACAGATTAGAAAACAGGAGGAGTGGCCTGGGATATGGCCTCAAGGAATTTCTACATTTAATGGCTGGATTTGAGAAGGCAGAACAATGAAAGAAAATTGAGAGGACCCCGTGAGAGCAGGAGATAGAAACTCAGGACAGAGAGGGAGCACACAAAACCACAAGCAGAGGGAAAACTACGGGAAGAAGGTGATAGAAGGGAGCAGGTTGAACCTGACTGGTGTCTTCACTGGCCAGCAGGGCCAGCGGAGCTGGCGTGTGCTTGTCAGCCCAAGGGCTCGCACGCCCATCAGCGTGATCACTGGAAGGCAGCTTCATACCTGTTGTGTGCCCCTGGGCAGCATCGCAGAGACCCAGTTACTGTGCCTCCGTCTGACCTTTATGCTGAATACCCAGAGACAGTAAAAACTTCAAACTCAGCCTGATGCTTTGTATGAACACACAAGCCTTTGTACCATTCAGATGTTAAAAATTAATGGTGACATGTAACTTTTTTAGATGAGGCTTCACCATGGTAACCCAGATTGGCCTCAGCCTCCTAGGCTCAAGCGATCCTCCTGGCTCGGTCTTCTGGGACTCCTTGGGACTCCAGGTAACCTCCACTGCTCTGGCTAAAACGTATTTTTAAGCATGATAAAACTGATGGTAACAAAAAAAATTTATCATCTTAGTATCTTTAACAATTCAGTTATGGTAAGTATACTTAAATTGGTGTGAAACAGATCAGCACGGCTTTGCACTCTGGGAGTTTAAACTATTCCCATTACACGATTGCCGAGCCCTCGCTCCCCCTGGCCCCTGGCAGCTGCTGCCCTTTTTCCGACTGTGAGTCCGGCCATCCTAGCTCCTTCATGCACGTAGAATCAGAGCGCTTGCTCTTCTGCGACTGGCTGACTTCACTGAGCATAATGCGCTCAAGCTTCCATGGTGAGGCACACGTCGCAGTTCCTTCCTTTTAAAGCTGAATAATATTTCACTGTGTGGATGTACCATACTTTGTTGCTATAAATTCATTTAAAAATAATCAATCTTGCCGGTTCTTGTTCCTCTGCTAAGTTTCTTCTGCCAATGCCTTCTTAGATGGCTTGCAGCTGGTAGATTAGCCACTAACCTTCCTAAGGAAAACTGCCCTCTGCATGGGCACTGGAGGGCTTTCCTCGTAAAGGTCAGATCATGAATATCTCTATCTTGTGGGCTATTCAGTCCTTCCTCTTCTTTCTCTCTATATTTAAACTTCTTTCTTTCTTCTTTCTCTCTCTCTATTTTTCTTCCTTTCTTCCTTCCTTCCCTCCCTCCCTTCCTCCTCTCGGTGCTGGGAGTTGAATCCAGGGATTTATGGATGCTGAGCACGCACTCCATCCTTAAGCTGCACCCCAGCCCTATGCACAGTCGTCTCTTTCACAATTATTTAGCTGCTCGCTCTGCAGAGGATGCCCCTTGCATTTTTGTCATGATGTGTGTATTGTTCACTGTCTGACTTCCCTGCCAGACTGTAAGTTTGGAAGACTTTGGTGAGCAGCGCTGCTCCCACACTCAGTGGATTCCTGGCCCTGCCACAACAGCAGGAGTGAGGACTCCATGCGATGCACACGCCCTTGTGCATCATGTGACTGGTGACCACTTATGAGGGAGGAAACAGCGCTCCTTGACTGACTGACTGACTCCGTCATAAGCTGACGAGCTGTCCCCGCAGTGTCATGCACCTCGGGAGAGTTAGCCTACATATATTTGCCTGGAAGATGCTGTCCAGCTACACTGAACATTGGTGCCTTATTTTCGTCTGTGGCATCTCACCAATGTGACATTCTCAGCCAAGCATCTTCTAACAGTTTGGTGGTCAGAGTGCTCAAACCAAAGATCAGAATTCCGGGGAATTTGAAGGCGTGGAGAGGGAGGGGGCACAAGAGCTCCCCGGGACGAGCCAACAGCTCACACTCAGCATGATGCAAACCTGGGGTTATGCCTGTTGGTCACTACCCCACGGCCTGGCCTGAGGGAAAGTGGTGACCTTTAGGTCATGTGAGGCATTTCCCCTTGTGACATCCTCACAGCACTCAAAAAAATGTAAGATTTTCTGGGTAGGAATATTTAACTTGTTGTCCTATCTTTCAGTTAAAAGCACGAGGCCCAGAGTTATTAAAGCACTTCCGCCAGATCGTATGGTCCACGAAGACAGAAGTTGCTCTCAGGCCCCCACGGTTGTTCCCTGAAAAGGCTCGTGCTCTGGAGTAGGATCTGGACCACAGGACCTATCCAGAGAGCTCTCTTCAGCCGACTCGGGACACGACCCAGGAAAATTTGGCTAACTTGATTGCAGGTGTTTTGTGGGCTGGACTTTGAGAAACCTTGTGCTAGAATCTCCTGCTCCAATACTGAATATTTACCTCTTCCTCGGGGTGAGCAGTGTTGGTACACATCCTGCCCCGGGAGTGTTTACTCCGCCAACTCATCAGCGTGGAACAGGACGCTTCATTTTTTTCTTCCTTATAAATCATAATTCTGTTTTATTTACCTTACCTTCTTGCCTTATTTTAAAAGTTTTATTTATTTTACATTGACCAGTAGTCTGTGTATTTATGCGATGTTCCGCTCAATTCATGGCCTGTGTCATGTCTGGTGAGTTCTCACAATATTTCAGGTTTTCATTGTCACTGTCACTGCGGTGGTGACCTGTGGCCGGGGGTTTTGCTGCTGCTGCTGTGGGGCTGAGGACTTTGTCCCTACAGAAAGGAGAAATGTGTGCGTTCTCACCTCTCCACTGACCAGCGCTTCCTGCCCCCTCCCTTTCCTGGGCCTCCTTATTTCCTGAGAATACGGTATTTAACTGAGGTCAGCTACTAACCTTGCAGTGGCCCTTAAGTGTCTAAGTGGAAAGAAAAGCCCCCATCTCTCCATATCCTAAATCAAATATAGACCTGATGAAGCTTTGAGGAAGGCCTCTCAGAAGCTCACACAGGCTGGAAGCTAGGCCACTTGTGCTAATCAGGTAGCCAAACTGTGAACAGAAGGAAAGTTGCTTGAAAAAAATAAGCAATGATATTCCTGTGAACCTACGGATGACAGGAATGTGACACAGCCTTTGTTACTGCCGTGGAGGGAGGGGCAGTGGTCTGGATTGAAGACCAAAGGAGTGGAGGTCTGAGCCAGAGCCAGACCCCAGCTGTCTTCAGTTCTACAAAGGCCGAGGGTCCCGGCAGCTCCGGAGGGAGAGTCTGAGGATGGTAGAGGTTGGATCAAAAGACTTCAGGAAAGACGCGGTCTCTGTAATCTGTCTGCATAGACTGAAGCACGTGCTGATGTAGAAGCTGTGGAAAGTTATGCAGGAGGCTGAGCTGGGATCCTTGATGGAGGAAGCCATGCAGATTTTCAGGGCAGCTGAAAAGACTTTATGTCTGCAGTCATCACCACTGTGGACACGCCCAATGTCCTTGAAAAGAAGATTGTTCTAGACCTTCCCTAGCTTGATAGAAGTCATTGCTTGGTTTCTAGGCCTCAAAGGACTAGCTGACTCTTTTGTTAGGGGCTGCTGTAGCTGGTGATTTCAATTGAAACTGCTTTTCTACCCTGAAAATCCTAGGGCCTTTAAGACTTTTCCTGAATCTGCTCTGCCTGTGCTCAGACCTACAACTGGAAAAATCAAGGCCGGATGACAGCAGGCTTGTCTATCATGAGTCACTGAATATTTTGTGCCCACTAGGGAGATCTGCTAAAGATCTCGTAAAGAGAGATTCCTTTCAAACGTTACTTCTCAGAGGCAATGAGCTTGGTCATCCAAGAGCTCTGATGAATGTGTACAAGATTAGTGTTTCCATGTCTACTAATGCAACATTCATTTTCAAACTTTGGACCAAGGAGGATTTTGACTTTGCAGTGTTTTTCTTTCCTTTGGGTTCCGCCATGCTGTACAAGCTGACCTTGAAATCACTGTCTAGCTCAGACTGACCTCAGGCTCACAGTGATCCTCCTGCCTCTGCCTGCCAGCGCTAGGATCACAGGTGTGCACTACCATGCCTGGCTGTAGTATTGCTTAAAAATCACCTTTCCTAAGATCTCTGACAGACTGCAGGGAAGTACACCTTGTGGAGAGGATTCACCATCATAGACCTCATTAAGAACAGTCATGATTCAGGGGTGGAAGTCAAGATACCAATATGAACAGGGATTTGGAGGAATTGGATTCCAGTCTTTGTGGATTGCTTCAAGGAGTTCAGGACCTCAGGGCAGGAAGGAACTGTAGACGTGGTGCAAATAGCAAGAGAACTAGAATTAGGGACAGCCCGAAGATTGCTGAATTCTAAAACCTCAGGATGAAGCTTTAATGCGTGAGGGGTTGCTTCTAGTAGAGGAGCCAGGGACATATTCTCTGGAGCCGGAATTCACTTGTGGTGAGGATGCTGTGGACGTTGGTGAAGATACAGCAAAGGAGTTAGAGAAGTGGATATAGCAGCAGCAGAAGGAGCACTGACACCAGCTTTGCAAGAAGTCTACCGTGGGCCAAGTGCTGTCAGACGCATTTGCACCCACGGGGAAAGCTTTTGTGAGTGCTCGAGGCCACTAGGGCAGCAAACTTCACCGTGACCTTAAGAAATCGCTGCAACCACCCTCCACTCCGGCGCCCACCACGACGCAGACCAAGGAGCAGATCTCAAGAGCTAAGAAAATTAGGACCTCCACTGAAGACCGGGATTCAGCGAATGCTCAGGTGATTTTTAGCGATTTCCTGTATTCCTTCCAAGTGGTTTCTAATCAGTGCCTGCCTGTGATACACACTAGCGACATTCTCTGTGAAGGGTCGGTATGTACACATGCCACATCTCACTTACTTTCACGTCCCCCCCTTCCCTTGGCCCCCTTCTCATCTGCAAAATTCTATCTCCCAGCTCCTATTATCTGTCCTTTGATTTGCTCTTTCATTTATCTCCATTTGGATGTGATATGAAGGGAAACCGTGTAATATTTAAAGGCGTGTGACTTTTTAAAAGCAATAGCACTTAAAAATTAGGGTTTGTACACTTTAGACATAACGTTGTACACTTACTAAACTATGGTGTAGTACAAATACAACTTTTGTCTGCACTGGGAAACCACGAAATGTGTATACTCGCTTTCCTGTGGCATTTGGTTCATTGCGGTAATCTGGAATTGAATCCACAGTAGCTCCGGGTTATCTCTGTGGCACATTATGAAGAGACTAAATCACGTGAATTTACATAGATGTCACTTCATACTGTTTGTAGGGAGGTCATTTAAATTCTACTTTCTTTAAAATTTTAAAGATGAACCCATAATTACTCACCATGCTCAGCGTGCTGTGTAGCAGATCCCTGGAGCTGAACTAAAAACTTATTCCCTTTGACCAACGTCACTTATGTCTCCCCTTTCTGCATCTGTAAGTTAGACTCTTCTAGATCCCATGTACACGTGACATCATGCATTATTTGTCTTTCTGTGGCTGGCTTATTTCACCCAGTACAATGTCCTCCAGGTTTATCCATATTGTCCACGGTGATGTATTTTCTGTTTGCTTTGACAAGAGGAGACCCATTTGTTTCATCCTAAAGACTCCCGGAAAGCCTCGACTATGGAGTTAAGGAGCAGAGCCCAGCTCCCCTTCACACCATCCGAGTCACAATCTGTTCTTCACAAGGACGGTGCTTCCCACCCTGGCTCTGGAGCTGTAACTGAAACAGTGTTCTGAGAGTATGGCAAGCATTGGTTCCATGCTGAGTTCCTGTAGCTTGGCTGAGGCTGGATCTGTATGTGCTTTGAAGAGTCTGGATTGCTGCTGATTTCCCTGCTAGGTGTGACAGGGTGTGACACGGGTCAGTGAGGGACTGGGCGCTTCTGCTGATCACTGGTCGCAGATCCAGGCTGCAGGTGCCGAGAGCAGACTCAATGGACTGTGGACCTACATGTGCAAAACCACATAAGGACTCCATTTAGGACCATTCCTCAGGCATTAATTGAGGGTCAGGGCATTAATTGAGGGACAAGGCCTTTCCTATGCTGAGATCCACCACAGAGTGCAAAGCTATGAGTGTTGTTCTCAGTTTCTAACAATGAGCAAAGTTTACCCTGTTAGGTTTCAGACTTGCTAGGGACCTGGGACCCTTTTTCCATCAAATTCTCCCTTTTGAAGTAAGGAGACAGAGATAGGATAGACATTCCTATTCCAGAAGCAGAGAGTTTGTCTAGCACCACAGGTTCATAGATGGAGAGGAATTTTGCCCAAGGGTGAGTCATATCCTGAGTCTTGCCTGTATCTAATTTAAAGACTATTTGGATGCGATTTTGGACTAAGAGCTGATGTTGGAAAAGTTGAGGCAGCTGGGGATGTTGGGACGGGATGACTGTGTTTTGCCTGAGATAAGGGCATGCATCTTAGAGGGTCAAACAGTTAATTACATTTTGATGTGCTAACCCCTAATACCGAGTATGACCTTATTTGGAAATAGGATAGCTGTAAATGGAATTAGGGAAGATGAAGTCATCCTGAGTAGGATGGGCCCTAATCCAAGGTGACTGATGTCCTTGGACAAGGAGGAAGTTTGGACATTGACTTGCACACAGGGAGGACAGTATGCAAAGATGAAGGCGGCGATAAGACCAAAGTATCTCCGGGCTGGGGAACGCCAAAGATGGCCAGCAAACCGCACGGGCTAGGAGGGCACCGTGAAGGAGAGTCTCCCTTCCCTGCCCTCCTGACACCTCGAGCTCAGATTTTCAGCCTTCAGAGTGTGGGAAAATAGATTTCTGTTGTGTAAGCCCCCACATGTGTGAGATTTTGTCATGGCGGCTCTGAGAGACTAACATGGATTTAGTTAGGAATTAAAGCTTCCTGGATGCAAAACTTCTGAGCTACCTTTATCTCTATCCCTAATCATTTAATGACTCTATTTTGAGAAAATTATGATTCAGAAAAAGATAGCATGGAGTTAGAGTTTAATACCGGAATGTCCACGAGGGTTAGTGTCTGCAGGGCCTTTCTTTGCAGCCATAGCATGGAGGGGTGCAGCTCAGAACCCACCCCCACTGCGAGCCTGGGGGATAGTACGGTGCATGTGCTGTGGCCTGTAATAGAGTCAGTTGAAAAACAAAAATGGCCCTTGAATGTGATGAATTTCTTAGTGATCTCTCCAGAAGTCCACTTAGTGATGTTCTCTTGTTAATGATGCCATTTTGTCTCATCCTCTGTCTGGGGCAAGCCAGGAGTCAGGAAGGGAAGACTTCATTTCCCTGGTTCCCAGGGGCCAGGTAAGTTTTCATTGCCACCATCTGCCTTTTGAAGACAGCAGATGAGTGGAGAGCTGAAGATTCTTCATGTCAGAGATGTGAAGTTTGTGCCATACACTGCCACCTGATAGGATTTCATCCAGTAACTGTTTCTTTCTTTGATCAAAAGGCATATTTCTAAGGTAAGGTGTGTGGAATAACAATATGCCCAGACCAGTTATAGAGCCACTCCAAATCTTTGCAAATATTAAGGAAAGTGTGTTGGGTTGTATTAAAGCAACTATGTGGTTGGTATCGGGATCTTCGACAAGGGAAATGTGGGCATGGAGCCCCGTCAGACTCCTCTGTACAAGCCGCTGACCCTCACTAGGCAGGAATGCACCCTGGTTGTCCAGGGCCTGGAAACCCTTGCACCATTGCTCAGGATGCCACCATCAGCATCAGCTCGCCTTTGTCTCAGTGAAGACACAGAGTCAGACAGAGTAAGTATCAGATACGGGAGTTTACAAACCCAAAGCTCTCAGAGACGGAAGGTGCTAAACCTCTGTTTCCAGGCAGGAAGTGTACAGCTGGGGCTGTGTTCAGTTCTCCATCCTGACCACTTTCCAGACAGAATTCCTAGCTCCTAGTCGTCAGGATGCACGGGCACGGCCTACTGAGAGCTTTCCACATGAGTGAATGAAGTTATTTGCTTTCTGAGGCTTAGCACTGCCTCAGATGCTCATGTGCTGCATCCCTGGCCTTGGCGGACTGATTTGTCTGCCCAGAGTGTGGTTAATGTTTTATCCCGGTGGAAAATGGTTAAGGCTTCCCTCGCCAATAAAGGCAGCAGGGTGGGGTGTTGGCAGAGGAGGGAGAGCAGTCAGCAGCAGTGGAGAAGGTGGTTTCTTGTGGGGGAGAGGACTTAGATGTGTGTGACTTAGATCTGTGCATTCAGATGTAAAGTGCTCTTAGGATCTGTGAGGTTTGTAATTCTTCAGGACAGGTTTCATCCCCACAACCTCCTGGTTCAGCCAGGAGACAGAAATCCTTCAAGATGTCTTCAACAGAAAGCATTTAATACAGGGAACTGGTTACATGGGAAGAGATGAGAAGCTACGCAAGCGATGATTACTGCAGCAGGAGGCTGCCAGCTTTAGGATCAGAGACACTGATATGACCCAGAGCCCAGGAGCTGGGCACTGGGTGGAAATGAGAACCAGACTATTGGTTAGAAGCTAGGCACCCCCACCATGCCACCACAGGAGAAGGAGCCACTTTCCAGGGTGCCGCCTGATGAAAGTGGCCAATTCCCACTGATGTGTACTCGGAAGCCACTCAGCAAGGGAACCCAAGAAGAGGAATCAAGAAAAAGGGCTCAGAGAGGCCTGAGAGCAGAAGGCAAGTGGCCAGCATGGCCGTGATGGAGGAGCACATTGGCAGACACCTTGAGGAAGTGTCTCTGAATGTGCATGCTGGCGCTGGGAGTCAGACACATGCATTTGCTGGCCAACATCACACCAGGGCAGAGCCAGCACTTCAGCCTGGGTTATCTGGCTCAGTTCTCTAATACCCAGGTAAAGAATGGGCTCTGGCCTTTGGAGGAAGAGGTTTTCTGGGGATGCTTGGGTAGAGAGGAGAAGAGTCGACAGACTGGACAGGTGATGGTTTATGAGGTGGCTGATTAGTCCAACGTGAGCTTTAGAGACTCTAGCCTACCTGAGGCCAGCTCAGTGCCCAGATTACAGGGAAAGAAGAGCCTGTCCCTTTCAGTGCCTTTTCAGTGATTTGGTGACTATATGAGTCTTATGGTCTGGATCAAAATTAAAAAGGCAACTCTCAGTGGAAGGAGGCCTTGTTGACAGGCCAGAGTGAGAGAATAGGGTTGGAGGAGCTGTCTGTTTAGCAAGTATTTCACCCAATTTAGATTCCCAGTGGCAGAATTTTAGGAGCAGCTGCATGAAAAGTGAGAAAAGTGATTTTAGCCATGGTTTGGGTGGTTGGTAGGATTAGAGAGTGGGGCAGTGTTTTGGTTTGAGTCTGGATGTCCCCCCAAAGCCTCATGCAGTTATAGAAACAGGCTGCTAGGATCTGTGACTGATTCATGGTCCAGTGCTGCGATTATGGGTGTGGGTTCCACACCCCAGTGGATGTGGCCTATAGACAATATAAGGGACTCTCTATGCTCTTCCCATTTTGCTCTTGTTGCTTGTGCTGTTTTCTGCTTCCATGAGCTGTTGCCCTCTGCCATGTGCCACTCTGCCTTGGAGCCAGCTGAATATGGACTGAAACCTCCACAAACTGTGAGCTAAATAAACCTTTCCTTCATTCACTTTGGGTGTTGGGTATTTTGTCCCAGCAGTGATGGAAAAGTAACCAAGACAGGCAACTTCCAAGCCAAATTGAGATTTCAAAGCAGAAGCAGTAGCCTGCAGATATGTCCCTGCGCCCACACTATTTGCCAGGCAGCCAGCAACATCCTGGGAAAGCGGAAGCGAGGTCGTCCCCCAAATCCAGCAAGGCCGTCCATTGTGACTCACAGGGCTCTGTGGAGTTTGGAATGGAGTTTTGTGTCACAGCAGTGTTTTCGAGTTAGTTGCCTAACCTAGGTGATGGGTGTACAGAATACAGGGGAGAGTTTGGACTCGGGCAGCAGAGCCATACGTATTGCAACATGATCAGTTTATGCACAGCACTGCTGATTGGTCACAAGTTTGCCAAAAATGTTTCCAGACGTCACTAACAGGTTAATCCAGGCACTCATTGGGTGAGACATAATTTCCAAAAGGCTATGAGTGCTCCATGTTTTCTCTAGACTCCATCATGTCATCACCAGGTGATGGAAGCTACATTTCCGAGCCTTCAGATTTCCCCTCTCCTTTTGTTAGTGGCTTCTGGAAAGATGCATTTTGTTCTTCCAATGGCATCTAAGCTATCATGCCTCATGCTCAAACCCCCTCCAAAGGTGCTTTGCAAACTCTTCCAAGCTAATTGAGATTTCAAAGCAGAAGCGGTAGGCCTGCAGATATGTCACTGCTAACATGGCTGCTAACATGGATGATAAGAAACCTTGCTTTAAGGATGCCAAACTGAATGCAAAACCATTTTCTTAAAATAAATGATCATGATCAAAAGAAAAGGGAAAATTAAAAATGGTACTTTGACTTCATATTTCTTGCTATCACAACCTGTATTCTGTATTTCCTGATGCCCAGGGCTTTGAGCATCGAGGTTCTTTATCTGACCCTGGATAAGGGCCACCCATTTTGGCTCTGAATGGCCCAGCCTGGCATTTGATGATCTCATTCCACTGGCAAGTTTGATCCAAAGAGAGCACTTCATTAATTACACTCAGCACAAGTACCTGGGAATCTGCCTCTGTGCTTGGAGAATAACCTCACTTCATAAATAATCCAATTTATTTAGCACAGTGTACTCATGACCTTCAAGAAAATGCCAGACACTGATGGGACCAATTGCTGTCCTGGAAGGCAGGGTGGGTGCGACAGGGAAGGAAGGCAGCACTTGTTTTGTTTATGGGAAGGCAACCACGCAGCTCTGCTGGCGCCTGCACCTCACTGTGTAGGAAACCGGGATTCTGCAGCTTTGCCCCAGCAGAAGGAGCTCTATTGAGTCCTGAGTTGTGATAGTTCCAGAGAAAACCCAGGTTTTATCTCTGTAGCCATAGGAATAACCAAGGGGGTCACCCTTGGTGCTGTAGCCCCACTATTGGGTCTCTGTGCTCATTCATTCAATGACTGTTTAACTTTGCCTCCTCCAGCCAATATCAGTGTCAGGTGCCAGAGACACATGACAAGAAGGCCCTTTAATAAGTGCATGATTACAGAATCAATGGCAGGACCGGGGAGCTCACAGCATTTTTTGAGAAAATAGAAGATGAATATTTGCTGGAGGTGGTACTTGGATGTTATGCTCCTTCTTTAGGATTCCACTGCTGCTGTATTTGTGCACAGGAAGTCCTGACTGTGGCTTTTGTTGGGAGGGGGGACATTATCCTAGAGTTTCCTTCTCTTTCTCAAGCTTTTTTCTGTCTGTGTCTTGTCAATTTTGTCAGTCTTTCTACACCAGGAGTCTACGAACTGAACATTTTCTCAAAGTCAGTGCACAGAATGAGAGACTAAGCCAGGGGCACCTCCTGGGGTTCTGAGGGGCCAGGAGAGGGCAGTGTCCGAAGAAGATCCGAGCCTAGGTGGACACCAGAATCCCGGCCAAGTAGGGTAGAAACAGAGCATGGGAATGGTGTGAACCAGAGGATGACTGGTGGGGAGACTCCCCGGAAACCCAGGAGGCCGGCAGAGGGGAGAAGAGCACAAACGGTGGAGAAATGCCCACCCCAGGAAGACTTTCTGGACACTGTGGCAGCCTCCTGTCGACCTCAACCACCCTCCCACATGCTGCAAGAGTGACGCTCAGCAAGGGCTTCACTTATGACCTGCAAGTGAAGTCAGGGAAGGATATGTTATGTTAGGAGCCATTGGTTTGAGGAGCCCAGAGCCGAGGTTTTCCCTGTGCAGAAGTCCAGAACCTGAGCACATTGCTAGGACTCCGGCCAGCTGGTGAAACTTTCTTGCTCTGGGATTTCTGCTGGCTAGAGGCTGTGGAAGAAGGACCGTGAGGAGCCTCTCAAGCCACACAATGCCAGAGGCATGCCTGGGGCCAGCCTAGACACCGTCTCTGCAGACCACCTCGTGGGACCGGGGAACTCCAGCCAGAGCTCCCACCTTTCCTCCCAGAACCTTGGACTACAGTGGATTAACTGTGCTAGCTTGAAGAGAGATTTAGAACGCCTCACCCAAACAGAAGATCTCAGCAGGCTCTAGTCAGTGTGGCGAGTATGCCTCTAACATAGAGGTGTACAGTAGGTAAATACGCCAGTAGTAAAGCTCCCTCCAACTAACTGTAAGACCTTGCTGAGTCTGACAAGAGTGTGAATGACTTCTTCCTGCACACAGAAAACATGAGGAATGTGCCAATAAGGACTCCCCCAAATTGGAGAAAATCAAAAGGGCTTATGAGATACACAGGCACACAAAAGGGACACAGTAGGGCCTCTGCTGACACAAATAATACAGACAAGGAGATTTGGTGACCTGGAATAACCTGAAGATAAAGAAATAGCAGAAACTACAAGTTGACCTACATCATTACTACCAGGCTTGACTGCCCAGGAAGAATACTGGACTCACCCAACAGGTCCTGCAGTGGGGAGTCAGATGATTGGCCCATTTATTCATTGTGGGACCCAGCATTGGACAAACATCAACCTTACATTAGGACCTCAAGATACACATTACCAATAGTTGACTCTAGTGGGACTGAAGGACCAAATACTGACTCAAAGAGGGAAAACAGCAAAATGAAAAAGCAAAATGCAATCTCAAACATCTAGTCCACCAGGAGCAAGTACAGGACACACTGAAATAGAGGAGTTCAAAAGTAACACATCAGAAATCTCTGAGAAGATAGTGAGTGAAATAAAAAAACAACTTCATGAGGCTATAGAGGAAATCAAATTAGAAGTACTCTCCCATGTAAAGAAATAGCAACCTTAGTAAAGGAGTTGCTGAGCACAGCTAAAGAAGAAATAGAGAAAAAAGTACAGGAGCAGGGGAAACTGATTGAAACCTTGAATGAATGATATAGAAAACAAACAGAATTCATGAAACAAACTCAAAGAGACATCCAAGAAACAAAAAATTCTATTCAAAGCTGGCAAAACCGTTTAAATGAGGCTGGCTGAGGATAGGATTTCGGACCTTGAGGACAGGATCACAATTAGTGATCATGAAAGGGTAGAACTTTTAAAAATAACAAAGCAGCATGAAATAACAATCCAGCAGCTTCAAGATGATGCCAAGAGAAAAAATATAGGATTAATAGGCATTAGTGAAGATGCAGTAGTCAATGCAAATGACATAATCAAAATATTCACAGAAGTAATAGAAGAAAATTTTCCAAACATGGAGAAAAATCTGATATGCAGATAGGTGAGGCATATAGAATGCCAAGCAGTCACAAGCAACATAAATCTACACACAGACATATAATAATTAAGGTCTCAGACATACAGCATAAAAACAGAATATTAAAAGCTGTTAGAGAAAAGACACAGCTCACCTACCAAGGAAAGCCCCTTAGAATAATGACAGGCTTTTCAGCACAAACCTTCAAGTCAAGAGGAACTTGGAGTGAGGTATTTCAAGCCCTGAAAGAAAACAACTTTCAACCCAGACAAACTTTCATTCATATTTAATGGAGAAACAAAATACCTCCATGACAAAGAAGAACTGAAGAAATTCACATCCAGCAAGTCAATCCTAGAAAGAGTATTGAAAGAAATACTAGCTAGAGATAAAAGTGACCACAATCCCCAGAACAACAACAGGAAGAAACCACCAGGTAGGACAAACAATTAAACAATGAGGAAAAACAGAAAGCAAAGAACTGGAACATAACATGGCAAAGTGGAGCCAGTACATATCAGTTATATCCATAAATGTAAATGGCCTCAATTCACCTATCGAAAGAAATAGGTTGACAGAATGTATCAAGAAACAGAATCCCACAATATGCTGTATACAAGAAATACATCTGACCTAAAAGGAAACTCGTAGATTAAAAGTCAAAGGATGGAAAACAGTGTTCCGTGCAATAAGAACCTAGAAAAAAAGCAGGGGTAACTATTCTATTTTCAGACAGTGTGAACTTCAAACCTAAAATGGCTAAAAGACATAAAGAAGGTCACTACATACTTGTTAGTGGAAAAATTCAAGAGGATGAACTAACAATTTTAAATATATTGCACCAAATACAGGAGCACCCAACTATACAAGACAAATACTAACGGACATGAAAAACCAAATACATAAGAACACAATTACAACAGGGGACCTTAACAGCCCATTGTCACAAAGAGATAGATCAAATAGACAAAAAGTTAACAAAGAAATAATAGAACTGAATCATACTTGCAAGCAATTGGACTTAGTAGATGTTTACAGAGTGTTCCACCCAACCATGTCAGAATACACATTCTTCTCAGCTGTGCATGGGACATTCTCCAAACTAGACCATATATTATCCCATAAAACATTCTTAAGTAAATGCAAAGGTATTGAAATTATCCCATGCATACTATCTGACCATAGCGCACTGAAATTGGAAATTAATGGCAAAAATTGCAAAACCTGCATAAATACATGGCAATTAAATAACAACCTTTTGAACAACCAGTGGGCTACAGATGAAATTAAAGAAGAAATAAAGCAATACCTACAATTCAATGAAAATGCAGAAAAAACATACTGTAACTTGTGGGATGCAATGAAAGCGATCTTAAAAGGGAAACATAAATTGTCATATCAAGAAAACAGAATGAGCACAAATAAACAACCTAATGCTTCACCTCATGCTTCTAGAAAAAGAAGAGCAAGTTAAACCCAAAGCTCATAGATGAGAGGAAATTATAAAGATCAGATCACAAATCAATGCAATTAAAACTAAAAAAACCCCCAAAGAATTAATGAATCAAAAAGCTGGCTTTTTGAAAGAATAAACAAAATTGACAAACCTCTAGCTAATGTCATAAATAAAAAGAAAGAAAAAACCTAAATACATGCAATAAGGACTGAAAAGGGGGAAATTACTACAGATCCCACGGAAATTCAAAAGATCATGAATATCTACTTTGAAAATGTCTACTCACATAGAGTGGAAAAAACAGAGGAAATGCACAGATTTCTAGAAACACATGAAATACTAAAGCTAAACCAAGAAGATATAGCAATTTTAAATCACCCAGTATCAGCTATGAAATTGAAAATGTAATTAAAAACTTAGCAACAAAGAAAAGCCCAGGTCCTGATGGATTCATGGCTGAATTCTACAAGAAATTTAGAGAAGATTTGATGCCAATACTCCTTAAACTCTTCAATGAAACTGAAAAGGAAGCAATCCTCCCTAAATCATTCCTTAAGGCAAGTATTACTCTCTACCAAAACCAGAGAAAGATCCCACCAAAAAGGAGAACCATATACCAATCTCACTAATGAATATTGGTGCAAAGATTCTCAATAACATACTGTCAAATAGAATACAGCAAATCATCAAGAAGATTATACATCATGACCAAGTAGGATTCATTCTAGGAATGCAGGAATGGTTTAACATATGCAAATCAATAAATATAATACAATATAATACATCGACAGAGACCAAAACAACAACCACATGGTCATCTCAATAGATGCAGAAAAAGCTTTTGATAAAGTCCAACACAAGTTCATGATAAAAACCCTTCAGAAACTCAGAATACACGCTGTCTACCTCAATCATATAAAGGCCATCTATGACAAACCGACTGCCAACATGATACTAAATGGACAAAAACTGAAAGCTTTCACACTAAAATCAGGAACAAGACAAGGACGTCCTCTATCACCATTCCTATTCAATATAGCTCTTGAAACACCAGCCAGGGTAATCAGACAAGAGAGAGAAATAAAAGGAAAAGAAGAAGTTAAACTATCACTATTTGCAGATGACATGATACTCTATATAGGAAGACCCAAAAAAACTCCATTTAAAAGACTACTAGAGGTAATAAACAAATTCAGCAGTGTAGCTGGATACAAAGTCAATGCTTAAATATCAATAGTATTGCTGTACACAAACAAAAAACTCACTGAGAGAAATTATGGAAATATCGTCTTTCACAATATCATCTAAAAAAATCAAATACTTAGGAATTAACCTAACCAAGAGTGTAAAGTCCTATATGCTGAAAATTATGCTATGCTAAAAAAGGAGACTGAAGAGAATATTAGCAAATGGAAGGTTATTCCTTGCTCATGGCTAGGAAGAACCAACATTGTGAAAATGGCCATACTCCCAAAACTGTTACACAGATTTAACACAACCCCAATCAAAATACCATTAACATACTTCACAGATCTAGAGAAAACACTCCTAAAATTCATTTGGAAACAGAAAAAGCCTAGAATAGCAAAGGCAATTCTGGGCAAAAAGGCAAGCCAAGAGGCATCTCAATTCCTGAGTTGAAACTATACTACAAAGCCACAGTAATAAAATCAGCATGGTACTGGCAAAGAAATAGATCTGAGGATCAATGGAACAGATTAGAAGATGTAAACACAACTACAAAGACACTCAGCCACCTGATATTTGACAAAGGGGCTAAACATGTTCACTGGAAGGATAGGCTCTTTAATAAATGGTGCTGGAAAAATTTGCTCTCCACATGCCGAAGACTGAAACTAGATCCATGCCTATTACCATGCACAAAGCTAAAGTCTAAATGGATCAAAGATCTAAATATTAAAATGAAACACTAAATCTACTGGAAGACAAGGTAGATAAAAGTCTTGGAGACTTAGAGGTAGGCAGAGAATTCATGAATAAAATGCAAACTGCATAGTAAACACTTCAAAGAATCAACAACTAGGATCTCTTATTATTAAAAAGTTTCTTCCCTTCAGAAGAAATCACCAACAGAGTGAAAAGAAAACCCACAGATGGGAAAGAATTATAGCCAGCAACCCCTCAGACAAAGGACTTATATCCAGAGCATATAAAGAATTGAAAAATATCAAGCCCTCTAAATTCAAAGACCTTCTCTAAAAATGGGCATCTGAGATGAACACATTTCTCAGATGAAGATATACAAATGGTAAATAAATACATGAAGAAATGCTCACCATCACTGGTCATTTGAGAAATGCAAATTAAAAACAGCATTAAGATTTCATCTCACTCCGGAAAGAATAGCTGCCATGAACAAATCAACTGATAACAAATGTTGGCGAGGCTGCGGGGGAAAAAGGAACACTGCTCCACTGTTGGTGGGGTGTAGACTGGTGCAGCCACTATGGAAATCACTATGGAGATCTCTCAGAAGACTAGAATTGGAAGTTCCAGTCAACCCACTATTCCCCTCCTGGGTATTTTCCCAGAAAACCTGACAAGGTCATACCACAGTGATGTATGTGCACCCCTGTTCATAGCAGCACAATTTGTAAGAGCTAAATCTTGGAAACAACCAAGATGCCCATCAACAGCAGAGTGGATGAGTAAGATGTGGTATTTTTATACAATGGAATATTACTTAGCTATATTAAAGGATGATCTTCATAAGCAAATGGAGACAACTTGAGACTATCCTGATAAGTGAAATAAATAAGAATCATATTTATAAATATCACACTGTGTAGTATAAAAAGTAATAAGAAATGTAAGAGTAATATAACCCAAAATGTGTAATTGCTATTGTGAAAAAGACAGGAAAAGAAAGTGCTCTAAAGGATATAACTGCATGTATGTTTAAGTGTGTAGGATTGATAACCATATTAGCAGGTTTTTTTGGATAGTTGAACAGAGGTGGTTGTAGTCTCGATGTTTGAATGTCCACTTTATGTGATTTACTTTTGTAACTTAAACATCTATTTCTTTTCTTTCTTTCTTTCTTTTTTTTTTTTTTTTTTTTTGGTACTGGGGATCAAACTCACGACCTCACGCTTGCCAGGCAAGCGCTTACACCACTGAGCTAAATCCCCAGCCCTTGAACATCTATTTCTAAGAGGACAATATGTAATTTATCAACTAGTGATTTCTTACTGTTTATTTTTTTTTAAATTACGTATTACTTCTACCCTTTTTCTGTTTTCTTTTTCTTTTTCTTTTCCTCTTTAAATAAAAAAAAAAAGACAGAGCCAACACCTGGGTGGACTCTTTTTGGTTTATTTCTTAGAGTGTGGACCTAACAAGGACGTCCTATAAACCTTTGAGGGAATTCATTTTTCAAGGCGATTCCACGAGCTCAGGACATCAAAGAACCACCTCTCCTCGGAACATGGACTTGCCGGCTGGTGTTCCTCTCAGTTTTCTTTAGTGAGTTTCCTTCCATGGGAAAAAAAAAATAAACGCGATGCTGATGTTCAGACAGATGGAATTGTAATTTCTGGGCCATGGAAGAGGGCCACTCCCTGAGATGGGGGCGAGGGCAGGGGAAATTCCTTTCAACACCCACCCTGAGGGATTCTCATGATCCTGGTTTCCATTTTTGTCTAAATGGAGATGAAAGGACTTGGCCCAACACTGAGGAGAACTGTAATTCTAATTCTAAGGGAGGCACAGCTAGATGGAAAACCAGGTTAACCTTTAATCTTTCCATGAACGGAGACAAAAATCCTGTAACAAACCAGACAACCATTGGGATTAAGCTTCTGCTTTGGGTCTTGATTCTTTTCTTTTCTTTTTTTGTTTTGTTGAGGCAGGGTCTTGCTCTATAGTTTAGGCCACCCCTGAGCTCACCATGTAGCCCAGGCTGGCCTTGAACTCACAGCAGTCCTCCTACCTCAGCCTCTGGAGTTCTGGGATAACAGACGTGAACCACCACACCTGGCTTGGGTCCCATTTCTAAAGTCAACACCTTGTTGGATGAGAAGAAGCAACTGTGAGAGACCATTAATTTATTTTTTCACCCAAATATTATTAGCTAATATTACCAGTTACTTACCACCATTGGGGCTCTGTGTTTTTGTAATTGTTTTATAAACACAGTGAGGAATAGCTGCTTTCAAAGTGACAGTCTCCAACTGGGAAGAGCAGCAGAAGCTGTTTTGGGTGATCACCGATAGTTCTATTGGAAGGGTATTTTCTTATCCCCTTCTCTCCTATATGTAACGCCATGAGTTTATTATGTTTAGGTTTGGTATTCTTTTTAAAACTTTTGAGAGCTTTAGTTGTGGTAATGGATGCATGCATAGAGTACGGTTTACTAAACCATCATCACTATTTCTAAGTATACGTTCGGTAGTGTTAAGCAGCTTCCCACCACGGCTTCAGAATGCTTTTCTCTTGTAAAACTCTGCACAGTACCCATGAACCCGCGTGGTCCCTTCCCTCTGCCCCCTCCCTCCTGCCAACCACCGTTCTCCTTTCTGTTTCTGTGACTTTGACAGTGGCATCACGACACGACTGTGTTTGTCATTTTGTGACTGGCTTTACTGATTAGCATTACACCCTTGTAGATGGGGTGTTCTTGGTCTTTAGTGTAACATTTCCTCTTAATAGCTGAGGGCTAACCCATTTAAACTTTGGAAAGGTCACTGATGGAAATTTGAAAATATCCCCCAAGCCTGGAAAATTTAAAGACAAGTCCATATCTGGAAAATACCGCATGGCTCACAGCAGAGCGCAGGTCCCTGAGGTGAACAGTCAAAGCGCCCGCTCCCTCCCGGTGCCGGAGAGGCCGAGTTAAGTGGCACCAGCTGGCCACCTCCTGGATAGCAGGGCACGGAGCCCACAGGCACGAAGCCAGGCACAGGGGACGCTCTGCAGATGTGTCCTGCTCACTCTGGTGCCAAGGTCACGCTGCTCTCCCGGGGGTTTGGCAACAGCTGCCAGTGGAGTGGGGCTGGCAGCGGCTCCACAGGGCGGCATCTGCCTGGGCTGTCGCCCGAGGGGAAGGAAGACAGGAGGCCGCTGATATGGCAGCGAAGAGGGCACAGAAGGAGCCGTTTGACCCCTGTGCTGTCTCTTTCTCAAAAACAGTGCCTGCACCTCGCCCTTTTGCGTTTGCCTTTGTCTGCCTGATTCCTTTGGGGCAGGCGAGGCCACACCTTGGCAGCTCCCCAGCCATGTCACACAAACGATGGAAGGAGAGGGGTCCTGGGCGGGGACACAGGCCTGCGCATCTCACCGTCCTGGCCTTTAAAAACTCCCGGGGGCTTTCTGATGTCGTGGCAAAAAAGCAAATAATCTCCAAGAACTGTGACACCCTCTTTTCCAAAGAAATGTAATTTGCTGCTGTCAATAACACAGATTCCCCGCTCCAAAGAGCCAGTGTGTTTGCTTGCTATTTATCAAGTCTTTTAAACTCCGATGACTAATGGGAGATACATCGGCAATTTGTTACTGTTGTGGCATTGTTCGCTATCAGAAATGACACTGGAACAAAGGGGTAATCAGTTACGATTGCATTCAAAATTTATTCTCTCCTGCAGGAGTGCGCGGGCTCCCATATCACTAGGGGGTGATAGGCGTAATGGGTGTAGCCTCTAAATTATCTGTGTAGTAATTTTCACTTTAAAAAGCCACGCTCACATCCATCAACTCATTTCGGTGCCACGAGATGTTTATGATGTTGCTTCGTGGAAAAGGATACGACTTAGAGGAGAAATGAGTATCTAAGACCATGTGGCGAGTCAACGGGGGCTAAACTATAGGTCTCCTGTGTCTCCAACCAGGGCTCTTTGCAGTAAACTGCCCTTGAGAAGAATGAGCCAGAATGTAGGAAGAGAGGCAGGAGACGGCGCATTTCTTTCTGTTACTGGTGGGCAGCTCAAGCTTACCTGAGACGTTGGACTAGGGAGTCCCTGAAGTCTAAGGGACACGCTGTTAGGCTGAACTACATCAAATTGTCATTCCATAAAAGTTAAACATATTCAAACAGCGATAATTACTTATGCTTTTTAGAGTTAAGTGCTCTCCTAGATTCACATGGGATCCATTTCCCAGGTTGTCTCGAATTGGTCTTTTCGGTGGCTAATCAGGCCAGTTGTTTTGTTTTCAGTTTTGCTGACCCCGATGGTCTGAGTCAGCAGGACCTCTGATCATCACTCAAGTGGCCTTTGCAACCGAATTGAGCCAATTATACAGGCAACCGGCCAAACCTTGCAATTAACCCCAGCCCAGCCTACGCTCGGGGCTGTGTACCTATGACTCACAAATGACCAGTTTGCAAGAATTTTCAACAGGTCTAACCTGTTCCTGGTGACTGCATGTTTTGCCTGGAAAAGGAATTTGATAGTATTCAGGAGTTCTCTTCATCTGTCCTTGTTTGTAATGGTCAGTGGGAAATTTCCAAGGTTGGGACGAGGGGATCATTAGAAACTCCAGAGGGCGTCTTGGCCCAGTATCAAGAATGCGGGAGGGAGCGGAGAGTCAAGTGGCTAAAGAAACATTCATGAAAACCATTCATTCTCACTGTCCAGGGGCGGCTGGTGAGCCGCTCCGCTGGCCCGGCTTCCGCCATCTGGACTGAAGTCTCCCAGGATGGGCAGGCTCCCAGCGGGGGCCACCTGGCAGGAGTGCCACAGCCGCCACGGCCAGAGGACTGGGCCATGTGTTTCCCATAGATGGCAGGGACACCACACAGTGCTTTCTGTGTCTTTTGGTTACAAGATACTTTTGTGACCCACTTAATGGGGCACATGGAATCCTGGGAAATGGGGGGCCTTGGGCGCTGTGGGTGTGTTTCCCTTTGCGCGTGAGGACTGTGTTTCCACTTAGCACTCGAGGTGTGAATTGTGCCCGGAACAGCAGGGACCGGGAGCCCTTTTCCCTAGAAAGACTGCAGATCTACTGGCGAAGGTGACAGGGAGGTTAAGGGGCTACAGTTCATGATTTCAGTGAAAACTTTGCACGGCAGTTGGGAGGGAAGTGGAATTGTCAGTGACGTTGGGGGGCGCAGTGTAAAAGTAAGAAGCCAGCCCTCGGGGGGAGAAAAAACAGAATTAAAACTAAAACAAAGCAAACAACAAAACAGAACATCCCTGGACTGTGCACTTTGCTGATTTTCATGGTGCAAAAATTCCTCCACTGTTGCCAATTTCTAACCACCATGGGCTTGCAAAATTTTTGAATATTCCACGATCTTCTCTCCAGAACCTGGGTGATTTCACTGTAAAGTGCACCAGTGCAGAGACTTCAAAACGGAAACTGGGTGCCCACATAGGCACAGGTTAAAATGTAAAGATGCGGGGGCCGGAAGTGGGGGTCTCAGGGCAGATCCATCGGCTACTCTCTCCTGCTCTCCTTTTTCCCTTGTAAATGCTTGGAAGAGCTGCACCCCTTTGTAAGATGTATGGTTTGGGTCTTGCATGTCCTCCAAAACTCATCAGGTGAAACATTGTGTCTAGCTGATAGAGTAACTGAGAGGCAGTGCAAATGCTAGAGGGCTGATCCCAGTTGGGGGAAGTGGGTCCCTGGGGATGTGACTTGGAAGGGAACATCCTGTTCCAGGATCTCCTCCTGCTCTCACTGCCCCACAATATGCTCCTCTCCAGGACCTTCTGCCTCAGTAGGGACCCAGGAGCAATGGATCCCATGGCCATAGATGGAACTCTCTGACACTGTGAGCCAACACAAACCTTTCTTTCTTTAAGCTGATATTCTCAAGTATTTTGTCACAGTAATGCAAAGCTGACACACTGCACCATGGCATGAAATCCAAGCCACAGGTTCAGGGTCCAGACACCCTGACCAAAGACACTGTTCCTAACCGATCACTGCCTCACAAGCACCCAGTGCCCAGTATCTTCCTAGAGATGCTTCCTCTCCACCACTGTCATCTTCCAAGTGCTCACTTCAGGCCTGCCTGCCTGGCCAGGGAGGCAGAGACCACCATGCTGCTGGATTCTTGGAGCAAGTTATGAGGGGCTATCACTGCGCTGGCCATGGATTAGTCTCAGATTCCTCCCTAGTGGGCCATGCATAATTTAAAACAGCCTCTGCCAAAGTAGAAATCCACTTCAGTTACGGAGTGGAACCCAGCTTGTAAATTGTATGGATTTACAGAACTATGGGATAGGTTTATTCCCAAGGAAATGAATAGATTGCCACAGACATAATTCAGCATTCAATAGTAAGTTCTCCTAGTTATCAAGCAGCAGGGCTCTGCCTGCACTTGGGCGACCAGCTGTAAAGCTGGACCTCAGGTTCCTTATGTGCAAAAACGAGTTGCAGAGCTGAGTTGCTCTCTAAGGCATCCATCCGTTCCTGAGCACCACGCTTCTGGGATGCTCCTGGTCTCAACGCCCATCTCCCCACCCTTTCCTATGAGGTCTTCAGTTCCTTTATTTGACTCTGGTTTTCCTCCTCTGGAGACGTCTCATGCTCTGCTGCACAGCATTACTCAGCAGTGCGGCAAATAAGGCA